GCGCCGCGGGAGGGGTTCACAGGGGCGGGGGGCGAGCCGCTGGCGGGCTGCGGGGGCGGCTCTGGAGGCGACTGCAGCGCGGGCGAGCGCGTCTGCGGGCGCGGCTGGGGCTGGGCGCTGCCGGCGGAGCTCGGGGCCGCAGCCCCGCCGGGGTGGGCGCGCTTTTGGGGCTCGCCAGGGCCGCGCCAGACCGACGACGGGGCCGAGCTGCCCAGCCTCCTGAGCTCCCTGGGGGCGATGGCAAGGTCGACTTCTGGGCGAACAGCGGGGTCGCCCGCGCGGGCTGGGCCGCCGAGGGGAAGAGTTCACGGGCGTCGGTTGCGTGAATGGGCCCCCCTGGAGGCGGGCGGGTGGAGCCATGCAGGAGCGCGGAGGAGGCAGAAGCATTGTCTGGGTGCCCCGCCCGAACGGCCGCGCGTCGGCGCAGGCGAGCCCAGACGGATCTGCGCAGGGGCCGAGGCAGCGGGCGGGTGCGCGGACGCAGGCGCGAGGCGGCGCGCGATCGACGACGCGCAGATGGGCTGCTGGGCGAGGGCGACGGCGAGCTCGGCCCAGGCGCGCGTCGCGGCGACGACGACGGACGCGCTGACCAAGAGGCCGCCCGACGAGAGGGGGCCGAAGGGGGCGGGGCGACAGCGGGAGATGAGGGGGGGGGCAGAGGCGCGCGGGACCGGAGCTTACTGGGGGAGGGCGCGGCCAGGAGACCGCCCGCCCGGCGCGCCCCGCGAGATCGGCGCGGCGAGGGCCGGGCATGCCGGCGCCGCTGGGGGCAGGCGAGCAGCTCGACGCTGGCGGAGCTGCTGATCAGGGCTCGGCTCGCGCAGGGGCGCGGCGGGCCGGGCCGCCGCCGGCGACAGCGGAGACGGTCGCAAAGCGCGGCGCAGAGTCGCGCCCGTCGCGCCAGCCGAGGAGGCCGCAGGCGCCAAACAGGTGGTCATGCGAGAGGTGCGGGGCATCTGCGACAGAGCCCGCGGCGGCCAAGCTGCGGGCGCCGCGCCGCAGGCCGCTGAGCTGCGCGGGGCTCGCGGAGGAGGAACGCAGAAGAGGAGGCAGACGACCGAACGGCCGACGGCAAGAGCCGGAGAAGCAGACTGCAGGCGAAGTGGCGCTCGAGACCTCGGCGGCACCGGCGCGGGGAGAGCCCGCTCCTGGCACGGAGCGCGAAGAGGCCGAGTCGCCGCGGCCCGAGGAGGAGCTCGGGCAGGCGCGCCAGGGCGCAGAGGGCGCCTGCGCGCCCGATGGGGCGCGGGGGGGAAGAGGGGCACGGCGCAGCCGGCGCTGGGGGCAACTGGCGCGGCGGCCAGAAAGGAGGCGCAGCGGGCGCCGGCGCCGGGGCCCAGCCGCCCGCCGCCAAGGAGGGGCTCGCGGAATTGCGCCAGGTCGGGCGCCGGAGGCGCGGCTAGGACGCCCGCGGCCCTCGCGGCGGCTGGGAGCTCCAGAGCGCGAGGTGCAGGGGGCGCGCGCGGAGGCGCCTGGAGGACAACGTCCTTTACCTCCTCGCCGACGCAGGGGTCCGGCCGCCCGCCGCCGCGAGGGCCCCGGCGAGGCGCGTCGAGGTGGGCCCCGAGCGAGGGCGGGGCCAGGGCACCCGCGACCCTCGAGCGCCTGCGCGCCCGAGGGGCGAGACAAGGGAGAGGACCGGGGAGCAGCTTGCGCCAGGCGCAAAGGGAGGGTTGGAAACCAACCGCCCGCCGCAAAGGGGGTCTCGAGACGGCGCGCCAGAGCAGGTCCCCGAGTGAGAGCGGGGCCAAGGCGCCCGCGACTTCCGAGGCGGCTGGGAGGCCCAGAGCGCGAGGCGCAGGAGGCGCGCGAGGAGGCGCCGAGGCGCCTGGAGGACAAGGTCGCCCACCTCCTCGCCAGGGGCGCCGAGGTCGCCACAGAGGAGGCGGAGGAGGAGGGGCGCAAGCCTGCGCCCGCGGGGCACCCGCCAGTGAAACAGAGCGGAAGCCCGCGCGGCGCGGGATGAGCGCCCGCGCCCGCCGCGCGCGCGAGGGGCGCGCCAGCGGCGGCGGCCACGACGTGTGGCGGTTCGAAAGATCTCGAAAAATCTCCTCGTCCTCCCCGTCGTCCTCCCCGTCGCCCTCCCCGTCGTCCTCCTTTTCGTTCCCTTTTTCCCCTTCTCTTCTTGACGCTCGTTTCGATGTGTCGACCCATCCAAGCCCCTCTCAATCGCCGGTGGGGTGCTTCATGTGTGTGAGCGGTAAAGTGATCGAATCACTTGCAGTCCGGCGCTGTGTCTTCTCCTTCTCCTACACCCCTTCTCGTTATAAGTGTTTTTTTCTTGTCTCCGCCCGCAGACAAGTCGGCGAGGCGGGCCGAGTCGTTCGTCTGAGACTTCCTCGCCGCTGCTGGTTCTCAGGCATGAGAATAAGAGCGGTTTCAAGGAGGGCTGTTCTTGAATTTGCTGTTCTCGTTTGGAAACCGCGTTCGCTTAAACGCCGCGCGCATTCGTATAGACATATTGCAACATGTGTGAATATTGAACACATGTGGTTGTTTTCTTCTCTCTTTTTGTCTGTCTGTCTCAGAATGCCGGTCTCGCATGAACGCCGCGCGCATCTTTATCAACGCGTTGCAACAACTTTAAGAATGTAACGCAGTTGTTGTCCAACATGTGGTTGTGGTTTCAACGCCGCGCACATCCGATTTCATGCTGCCGCAATTCCAAATGTAGAGGAGGGGGCCAACATATTGTTCAGGCCCGACCGCCGCGCGCAGCCGCCGTCACACAACGCCGCCGTCGTAAGGACAGGTCGCTTTCAAGATGTTGCAATCGTCCGGCCGCCGCGCGCGTCCACATTGAGCTGTTGCAGCAGTTGCAGGATGGAGGGCGGGTCCTTTTCAAAATGGGTCTCTCATTGCAGCGCTGCCCACATTCGAAATAAAACGGTGCGGCAACTTTCGGGATGGATGGGGGGTCACAGCGTCGCTCTCGCCGGAGCGCCGCGCGCATGCGTTTTGAAGTGTTATTTGTTGCAGCGCTTACAAGGGTGAGGCGCAGGTCGTTTTCAAAATGGGGCTCTTTCTTCGGCGCCGGTTGCATCAATTTCAAGGATAGGGTGGGGGGCCAAAGCGCTGCCCTGGCCTGAGCGCCGCGCGCATTCGTTTTTGACATCGCGCAACAGCTTCAAATGTCAAATGTGGAGGGTGGTTCCTTCAAAAATGTGGCTCTCGCCTGGGCGCCGCGCACGTTCGTGTTGCGCTGATGCAAAACAGTTTCGAAAATGGAGAGGGTGGTCTGCCAGATGTGGCTCTCGCTTCAGCGCCGCGCACATCCGTCTTCATTTGTTCAACGGCTGTCGGGATGAAGCGCAGGTCGTTTTCAAGACGTTGCTCTCGAATTGCCGCCGCGCGCGTCCGCACTAGAGTCTTGCGACGGCTTCAGGTATGGAGGGGTGGGGGTGTTTTCAAAATGGAGCTCTCGCCTGAGAGCCGCGCGCATTGATTTCGCAAGTTCGCAACAGCTTCATGGATTTAGTGCAGTTCCCTTTCGAAATGGGGCCCGCGCTAGAGCGCCGCGCACATTAGCTCTACATTCTGTAGCAGCTTCAAAGATGGAGGGCTGCATATTTGAAGACGGTGGCTCTCGCTTTTGCGCCGCGCGCATTCGTCTACACCTGCAACGGCTGCAGACTGCAGGGGCTGAGCAGGGGTTCGTTTTCAGAGTGTTGCTCTCGCCGCGGCGCCGCGCACGCTCCTCCTTGTCGAAAGTTGCAGCACGCATTGTGACGGAGCGCAGCGCGTTTTCAGAAGGGGGCCATCGCCTCAGTGCCTCGTGCCTTCGCCTCCGAGCTTGGAGCAGCTTCAAGGCTGGATGGCGGCTCCCTTCTTGAGACGTGTCTCGCGCCTGCCCGCCGCGCACACTCGTCCTCGACGCTTGCAACAGGTCGAAGGATGCAGGGGGGGGGAGGGCCTCGTGTTCGAAGTTGGGGCTCTTGCTCGAGACTTCCTTCGCGCTCAGGTCGGCGCGAGCCTGGGGGGGGGGGGGGAAGCGGGGAGGGGCGGGCTGGTTCAGAAGACTCGGAAGTCCTCCTGCTGAGAAGTTCTCTGAGCTTTCCTGTAAGACATCGAAAGAATTTCTCAGAAGGCGCGAGGGCGGACGAGAAGTCCCGCCGCCCTCTGAGAAGGCCTTCTCCTCCTCACTTCCCCCCTCGCTCGCCGCCGATCTTCCACTTCGCAAGCTTCGCCTTGCCGCTGAGCCTTCCTGGAAGACCCCAACAAACCTGTCAGAAAGGCGCGAGGGCGGACGAGAAGTCCCGCCGCCCTCTGAGAAGGCCTTCTCCTCCCCCCACTTCCCCCCTTCGCCCGCCGCCTTCTGAGAAGACCTTCTGAGAAGTCCCGCCGCCTTCTGAGAAGGCCTTCCCCTCCTCACTGCCCCGCCTTCGCCCGCCGCCGTCCAAGACCAGACACTTCAGCACATGCAGCACTGCACGGATCGAGGGCGCCTCCTGTTCGGCGCGGGGCTCTCGCCTGGAGCGGCGGTCGAAACTTTAGGGCGAGACGCGCATGCTTTTGGGCAGCAGCTCAGGGCTGGGGGGCCGGCTCTCTTCTCGAGGAGGGCATTTCGTCGGACACCTCGTCGAATTGTGCGAATCATGCTTCCTCGCACATCTGATAACGCGCGAGGAGGAGGAGGAGGAGGAGGAGGAGGAGGAGGAGGAGGAGGAGGAAGAGGAGGAGCGTGGAGGAGGGGCTTGTGTGCATATTCCAGCATTACTGATGCATCTCGGGTTCCTCTGGTCCTCCTCTTCCTCTTACTCCTCCTCCTCCTCCTCCTCGTCGTCGTCCTCGTCGTCGTCGTCGTCGTCGCCGTCCTCGTCGTCGTCGTCGTCGTCGTCCTCGTCGTCCTCGACGTCCTCGACGTCGTCGCCCTCGTCGTTGTCGTCGTCCTCGTCGTCGTCATTGTCGTCGTCGTCGTTGTCATCGTCCTCGTCGTCGTTATTGTCGTCGTCGTCGTTGTCAACGTCGTCGTCGTTGTCATTGTCGTCGTCCTCCTCCAGGGTGCAGAGCACCTGCTTGGACGGCGGCTACTTCACGGAGTTCGAGATCAAGTCGCTGCGCGTTGCGTACAGACGTTTCCTGACGCCCGGCTGCCCCGAGATGCACAAGGCCGACCTCGTCCTCCTGGTCCTTCTCTTGGCCCTCCTCGTCCTTCGCGTCCTCTGCAGCGCCGCCGTCGTCGTCGTCGCCGCCCTCCTCCCGACTTCTCTTGCTCCCTCAGAGCTCCTCTGCCCAAGCAGCTGTGCACCAGGACGACCTGCAGGAGCTCGTCCGGCACCTCGGGTATATCGTTCTCTCACCGGCCATCGTCACGGAGCTGGCGAACGAGATCACCCCGTACAACGATCTCGACTTCGACGACGTAGTCCGCTTCGTCGAGAAGTACGCCCGCCGAGAGTGTGCCAGCTTCCGTGAGATCTTCGACATGTACGACAAGGACAAAAGCGGGGCCATCTCCATCCTTGAGCTTCGGTCCCTCATGGCCGACATGGGCTTCAACCCCTCAAAGCAGCTGATCACGGAGGCTTCTCGGCATCTCGATTACAGCGAAAACGGCGAGCTGACTTTCCGAGAGTTGCTGCATTTCTTCACCGTGTACCGGCACACGCATGGCTTCTGCAAGTCCGAGATCGCGGAATTGAGGGAAACTTTTGAGACCTTCACTACGGAGCGAGGCACCGCTTCTGGCATGCCACTCCTGTCAGTTGCGAGGGCCCTGATCCAGGCGTTTGGTCTCCAGTTCGAGGACACCGCGGTCGCGATCACCAGCAAGGTGATAGCGAGGAGCTCCGAGGACGACCCCCAGGCCTTGGCACCGCTCGGGCGTGGGCCCTGTTTGTCTCGGCGAGGGCCATCGAGGAACACGTTTGACCATCCTGGGACAACAAAAACAGCGCACGAAGCCGGACAGTGCACGAGGAATGGACGTCCGAGCGATGGCAAGAGGCAGATCAGAACGAGATCCTCAACTTCGAAGAGTTCCTCGCCTTCGCCCGGGCGCTGAAGGAGGCGGAGCAGGAGCAGTACCGCAGAGAGTTCGTGAAGCACGACGCGGACAACAGCGGAGTGATCGAGATCGAGGAGCTCCAGGGCTGCCTGCGAAACCTCGGCCACGAGCCGACGCGCGGGGTCATCGTGGAGGTGCTCAAGGAGGTCGACTTCGAAGAGGATGGAACGCTCGACATGGAGGAGTTTTATAACTTCATGCTGGTGTTCCGCGACAGAGAGGGCTTCATGAACCAGGAGCTGGTCGAAATGCGTCAGGTGTTCTGCAAGTTCGACGAGGACGCAAGCGAGAGCATATCCGTGCATGAGCTGGGGGCGATGCTGCGCTACATGGGCTACACTGTTACCATGGGCGACCTACACATGCTCATCGCCCAGGTCGACGTGGACCGCAGTGGGGACCTGGACTTTCGCGAGTTCATCCGCCTCATGAGGCTCCACAGGAGGGTCGCGCTGCCTCTCCCTCCTGCCCCAGTCCCTCCTCCCTCACTCCCCTCCCTCCCCTCCCCCCCCCTCCCCTCCCTCCCCTCCCCTCCCCAAACTCCCCTCCCCCCCTGCCTCCCTCCCTTCCCTCCCCTCCCCCCTCTCCTCCCTCCCCGCCCTCCCTCCCTCCCCGTCCCCCCTCCCCTCCCTCCCCCTCCCCTCCCCTCCCCTCCCCTCCCTCCCCCCTCCCCCCCTCCCCTCCCCTCCTGCCCTCCGCCGCCCCTCCCTCCCTCCCGTGGCGAGCCCGAGCTCGCCCAAGGGGCGGCAGGAGGCCGCCTCTTGGCCGGGCAGGGGGGCCGAGGCGCGGCGCCAGCCCGGGTCGTCCTGCGCGGCCCCCCTTTGGGCAGGCCTGCGGCCCGTGTGCGCCGCGCGCCGCACGAGGCGGGGGCCGTCGCCGCCTCGCGCGGCCCTCGACGACGACGACGACGACGACGACGACGACGACGACGACGACGACGACGACGACGACGACGACGACGACGACGACGACGACGACGACGACGGCGGCGCCCACGACGACGACGGCGGCGCCCACGACGACGGCGACGACGGCGACGACGACGGCGACGACGACGATCACGACCACGACCACGACCACGACCGCGACGACGACGACGACGACGGCGACGACGACGGCGACGACGACGACGACGACGACGACGACGGCGACCACGACCACGACCACGACCACGACCACGACGACGACGACGACGACGACGAGCCCACGGACAGAGGCGAGGCCTGCCTCCAGGCCCTCGCCGGTGGCCCCCGCGGCCGCCGCGGAGGGTCCTGCCACGCCGCGGTCGCCGCCGCGTGGCCGCCCGCTGCCCGCGAGAGCCAGGCGGGCCCGCGTCGCTCGCCCGCGAGCCAGGGCTCTGCCCGTGGCTGCCAGGGGAGCTCTCCGCTTGCGCGGCGCACCGCCCGTGCCTGGTGAGCCGCCGTGCAGCGGAGGGGCTTCACGGACGGCCTGGTGCGCTTAGGCAGTTTAGGTTGTCGGCTCTAGTTTGCTGTTGTCAACTAGTCGGCCCGCGCCCCGGACTTACGACTCGCCGTGTGCGCTTTCGCCCGCGGCCGCGACCAAAAAAAGGACGGCCTGGTGCGGCTTACCGCTTCGTCGTCCCGTCTTCGATCGACGGCGACTTCGCTGACGCCGCCAGCCGCGGAGGCGTCGCCATCCCCGCGCTCGCCTCCCCCCCTCCCTCGCGGGCGGGGTCGGGCCAGGCTTCTGCGTTTGCAGCCCCGCGTTGCCTCGGGTCAGTGCGCGGGCGTCGCTTTTCTGTAGATTGCGAATCTGAAAATTTCCGAGAGGGTCGACACCGTCGCCCCGCTGTTTTCGGAGCGCGGTTGTTTCGTTGCACATGTGGGTAGACGCGGATCCCGCGGTCAGACTTGGCGAGGCTCGCTTTAGAAAGAAGTGGATCACCTGAGCAGCGGTGGGTCACGCAGAGGTGAAGGCGGCCCAAGAAGGCGCGATCAGTTACAGAGAGCCTGCCCCTGGAAACCGAGGGCGGCCCCGACAAGCCACCAGGATGGCCGCAGAGATGCCAGAAAAAAAAACGTCGGGCTCGGCCCAGAAAGGGCACCGGGGGGCCACGAGATGGGCCCAAAAACGGACCACGATGGGTCGAGTGCGGCGGAGTGTTGTGAACGAGGGAAACGGGAGGCGTAACAAAAAGGTGGCGAAGGCGCCCCAAGAAGGCGCGAGCAGTTACAGAGAACTTACTCCTGGAAGCCGAGGAGGTTCCATTTATGTATTATCGAGCCTGTAGAGCTGGAGTCACGGCGGGCCCCCAGGGGAAAGCTTGCAGTCAGATTTTGAAATCAGTGCGTGTTAGTGACACTGCCTCGGCGAGGGTTGGTGCCAATCGTTGCAAGGTTTCTTGGGGCCGTGTCGGCGTCCTGTGGGGGGTCGGTCGAACGGCCGCGGAGCGCAGATAGATAGTTCCCTACCTAGGCTCTGCCTATCGGGTTCTTACTCTCTTTCTTAAAGGGACCGGGCAGTGGAACCCGCCCCGGGCGGTTCCCCCAGTCCCCTGGGAGCGGTTCCCCCAGTCCCTTGGGAGCTTTAGCTTTAGCTTTAGCTTTAACTTTAGCTTTAGCTTTAGCTTAGCTTTAGCTTAGCTTTAGCTTAGCTTTAGCTTAGGTTTAGCTTAGCGTTAGCTTAGCTGTAGCTTAGCTGTAGCTTAGCTTTAGTTTAGCTGTAGCTTAGCTGTAGCTTAGCTTTAGCTTAGCTTTAGCTTAGCTTTGCTGTTACTGCTAATGCTGTTTTCCTAGGGGCTCCAACTCCCAGGTAGGGTCGCACTGGGATAAACTGTATTTGCACGTGCCCCAGTAGAGTATGGAGCAAGAAATGCGTGATGGGGGTGTGCCGACATGGCAGCGTCGTGGCCATGAGCGCGCTGTCCAGTTGTACCTCCGCGCGTCCCCGAAGCATGTCGGGCAGGACATGTGTGAGAGGTGCGCCGCAACGAGGCCTGCGCAGTCCTGCGCGCGCACCTCGCTCGCGCTCTCACGACGCCACGGCGCCAGGGCCCCGGCCCTCCCGCGCCAACCCTCCAGGGTCCCGCTCCTGTGGGCTTGCGCGCTCCGCTCCCTGACCGCCGACGTCGGGATGAGATTTCTTTCGCAGCGTCGACCCCAAGAGGTCTCGATCCATCCCCGGGGACCCGTGTCTCATCCTGAGCCGTCTCTTGACGGCCCCCAGTTGGCCGAAAATAGACCGACTACGTGTAAGAGTGACCTTTCGCCGGAGTGACCTTTGGTGCTGGCTCACTGGGATCCCCCCGATCGTTGAGCCCGATGCGATAGCAGCGGCCTGCGCGCTTAGCTTTTGCCCCCTCGCGCCCCCCGGAAGCCGCGCGCCAAAGGTCACTCTTGCCCAGGATCACTCTTGCGTGTAGTCGAATAGAGAAAAACCTCACGTCGTGATTTTTTCACGACTCGCGGGAATGGGGCGCGAGGGGATCCAGGCGAATCAGTGTATTTCTCCATGCGTGCACGGCGGCGCCGCCACAAAGTCAGATCTGTGGCGGGGGATCGGGACACGCGGTGAGCATCCCCTGCCGCGCGCTTGCCCGCGCCGCTGTACGAAGGAGGAGGAGGAGGAGGCGGAGGAGGAGGAGGAGGAGGAAGAGCAGGAGCAGGAACAGGAGCAGGAGCAGGAGCATGAGGAAGA